TGTGAGTTAATAAGTAAAGTGCTCTAGATAGTATCGTATCTGTCACTTAATATGTGCTCTATAATGCTAGCTATAATCAACAGGAGTGTTTGGAAGTAGGAGTAATTTTAGGAGTTGCATCATTAATTATTATTATTGGTAGTGGCAGTAGTTATCTCAGTAGTATCAACAGTAGTGGTAGTAGTAACTACGTGAGCTGTAGTCCTATTACTAACCCAGAAGCTGCTTGAGAACCACTTTTAAAGAAACATCATCCTAGGTCAATGAAGAGAGACTATTCTCAATATCAAACATGTCATCTAAGAATGCTGATGACCATTATGGGCGGGGGGCAGGGTGCCAGCCACTGTTTAACACAGTTTTACTGTACTCAACTCATTTAATGCCAGTAGCATCTTATTATCTCCACCATTTTACTATTAAAGAAACTGGAGGCCTGGAAAGATGGGCTGACATGTCACGCTGCTAGAAGATAGCAGAGATGACACCCCTGGGATGATCCAAGAGGCCAGTGGAGCCCCCAACCTTGGGCAGTAGCTGAGGTCATGGTGTGGACTTTAGGTAGAGTGGGCCAGAACCCTGCAGGCTCACATCTTTGCTAACTCCAGCTTTTCCGAGCTCTGTCCACATACTTGCAGGAACCCTTTTGACCAGCAAGACATGGATCAGGGCACCCAAGGGCTAGGCTGGACACACAGTACCTTCTTCTGGGATCCCACCTGGAAAAGGACTTTGAGCAAAAACAGCTCCATGGGAACTGAGGACTAAGTGTGGCATCAAACCAGCACTCCAGGCCCCGTGCCACTTCTGACCTTGCCCAGGGTGCAGGAGCACTACCAGACAGCTCTGGGGTGGCTCCTAGTAGGAGCGCCTCTCCTCCCAGCAGCATAGGAAGGGTTTCCTAGCACCTTCATTCTCAGAGCAGTTCAGGTGCTCAGAGGGGAGGTGGGGAAGAGGGAAAGTGGGAACCAGTCAATCCCAGAGACCATGGAGCTAGACAGCAGGGCAGGCTTTCTAGGCCACCGGCTCAGGCCTCCCCTTGCCTTGGCCCCTGAGGTCCCAGCCCCCTCGGGCATCATTCTGGACTGTATTTCCTTGTTCTCACACAGTTTCTCTCTCTTGCCCCCCAGGTCCCCCCTCTATCTCCTGCCACGTGGTCTTGGCATTCGCTTATTCCTTCTGCATGATACTAATCAGCATAGAAGCTAATACCGAGCATTCACGGTGTCCAGGTCCTGCTCTAAAAAAGTCCTGCCTGCATTATTTCCCTAGCACTCATAACTTATGGATGACTGTGAGTACATGTTACTTGTCTATAGAACTCGGGCTCTGCAGAGACTAAGGGACAAGTTGAAGGTTCTAAAATCAGACAGTGAGAAGTGAGATCCTTTGAATTGCAGTTTTCCCCTCCGATTGTGTTCCGTTGGCTAAGAAACAGGACACCAGATGTTTCAAAGCTGCATCCCAAATCAGACGCTCCTCCTGGCTCAGCGTCCTGAACACCAGCAGGGCCCGAGCCCTTGGAGCGTGCTTCTCTGCACAGAGGGGCACCGTGCAGGGCCTGGGAGAGGGAAGCCAGGGGCCAGGGCATGAAGCCCAAGCAAACGGACTGGGGTGTAGACAAGTGGCCCACCTTTGTTCCCAGTATTCCCAGATATTCCGCAGGTGTCTGGCTTTTCCGGGCTGCTGGCAGCACTTCTTGGGGTGTCTGAGCCCCCCTCAATGCCCAAGGTTTGGAGGCAGAAAGCCAGATTTCTGCCCCCTCCCCACCTCTGCCCCCTCTGCCTCTCTAGCTGTATCTGTCTCCCTCCGTGTGCTCTGCTACATGATGTTCTCGCCCAGCAATTCACTGGCAAGACAGCAGGTCTCCCTCCACTCCTGCATGTCTCCACGACCTCCCTTCTCCACTTCCCCAAACTCTGCAATCCCAGGAGGACCATGCCCTCTGTTCTGGCTCCCCGTCCCTCTGCCTCCCGGCACAGCGAGCGAGGACCATGCTGAGCCAGATGGTTGTCCGTTTTCCTCCAGACCACAGAGCAGGGGAAAGGAGGCTCCCCCCATCTCCCTGGGTAACCCTGGATCTCTGACAGCAAGTGCTTTCACTTTCGGAGCTCGGTCATGGGTGATGATGTGCCCTGCAGGGTGGCAGCTGGGACTAATCCTGTGTTTGAGACTCTGCCGTACGCCTCGCTGGTGCCTGTGATGCAAAGCTGTCAGCAAGAAAGGGATCCTGGGAGGGTGCAGGAAGGTTCCAGCTGCAGGGGCCCTCCCCAGGAGGCGAGGAAGGTGTCCTGGGAGAGGAGAGGCTGGTGGGAACGGAATGGCCCTGGAGGAGGTGGGTCCCCAGGGATGGGACCCACCCAAGTTTTCTTAGAGATTTAGGACTGGGTCTCAGCCATGGGTGGGAATGCTGTAGCCTGGCTGGTGAAGGGCGAGGGCCTTCAGGTCAGAGAGAGCTGATTTGAATCCTTGCCTGGGTACTCAGCAGCTTGGTGCCCCCCGGCCCTGTGCCCTCATTTGTAATGTTAGCACGTACCTTGCTGATTCACTGTGGGGCACGGAAGAAGCAGAAGTAGGTAGAGCTGCCCTTTAAAAGGAAGAGGCGGCTCCTTTCACGTGTGTATCTCACAGCCCCATTTTACAGATGGGGAGACTGAGGCGTGGAGGGCCCTGTGTGGGAGGCTGGATCTGAGCTCAAGTCTCTGTCTGAAGCCTGTGCTCCCTTCCCACTGCTGCCCGGCTCACTGTGGTGGCAGATGGAGGCACGTTAGAGTGCCTCCTTGTGCCCCTGCAAAGCTGCCCCCTTGCAGTCCCTACTTCCCTCCTCCCTCCAAACCTAGAGCAGGAGGCCATGGGGAGGACAGTCCTTATGGAGAGATACTGGGGCCCCACTGACTAGCGTAGAGGCGACCTGTGGGTAGCAGGGACCCAGGATGAGCTTCAGGGAGGGATGAATGCATGACCCACCCGCCCTTTGTCAGCATGCTCGTGGTCACACACAGCCCCCAGCGGGAAGGGAGAAGAGCAGTTTCTTCAAAGAGGAAACCTATGAGACGGACTGGAGTGGCACCATCAATGGTGTCATGGGCCCAACCCACGTTACCGAACTGAGCTCCTTAGCCCACCTGGGGGAGGTCACGGGAGAGGTCCCTGAATCCCAACAGAGCCAGACAAAGCATTGAATCCCCCAGCAGACCCAGAGGTTCTGCCCTATTCTGGTTGGGAGACCTGACCACATGCTCCAGACCTGGGACAGAGGGAGGAACCTCAAGGGAATGAAGAGGGAGAGGGGAGAGGACGGAGACACGATCAGACTCGCAGAAGCAAAGGGTGTCTCCCTGGAGCCCCGGCAAGCTCCAGCCTCATTGTGCAGAGGAGGCAGAGGGTCCCCAGGGCTCTGCTGAGGGTGTCAGAGCGGGAGTGCCTCACAGGGACACATGGCCCGGCCTGCGGCAGGAAGGCCAGCCTGGCTTTCCAAGGGCTGCAGGGCTCCCAGAGGGAGCCCAAGCCTAGCAGGACCTGCTTGGCAGCCAGGAGCTGGGCCATCAGAGAGCTGTCGGGCCGTCCACCCGCCTGGGTATCCTTAAGATGTCCTCCTTACCGTGCCCAAATCTGACACTTGGGGATTCTTTTTTCCTCATGGTGGTTCCAATTTTCCATGTGTCTAACACTCATTTGAAATGATACACGGAAAAATGACTTTGCAACCAATTTCTTTGTGCCACAGACAGTGCAGTTTGTAAATAATGGGCTATCTAAACACACACTTGTGTGTTTGTTACCGCTCCAGAGTGGCTGCGACAATCTCATACAGACGGGCAGCTTGGGTCACACAGGAACCCTGATGCCATGTTTCGCAGCGTCAGGCCCTGGGAATCCTCCCGGGAGCAAAGCCAGAGGGTGGCCACAAAGACATCCCAGGGGTTCTGGGCACAGCGCCCGCAGAAGAGCGCCTCCCCGGCCAGCGCCGCAGCCAATGGCCACGGTCACAGCCCGAGGGCCAAGCCGCCCAGCCTGGGGCAGCGGGTCCCAGGGAGGTACCTCCGCCTCCTCTCCCAGTCACCTTTGCTTGGGTGACCCAGCCTCAGGCACCCTCGGGAACCTCACCGACCAATAAGCAAGCCCCCTCGCTCCCCATCCCCACCCTCTCCAGATGTTTTCTTGGCCCTTTTGCCTTCCCAGCCAAGCTCTGGCAACCACAACAATTTCTCTGCAAAGCAGAAACAGCTGGGGCAGAGGGCCCGTGCTCTGACCCCAGCTCCCTGCTGATGCATCCTTCAGGGAAGCTGGGGCCTCCACCTGCCACCACCTCGCTCTGTGTCAGGCGCTGCCTGCGCTCCCAGAGGGTTAAGACGATGATGATCCAATTCCATCAGTTGTGAAAAGGCTAGGACCCGATGGGAGAGCGCTAGACTGAAGCCAGCAGACCTGGGCCCTGGGGCTGTTCATCCACTAAGTTGTTGGAGATCAGATAATCAGCCAGAGCCATGACGTTCCCATCTGTAAAATGAGTGGATGGGGCAAAACGTGCCTGAGATTTCTAACAAGAATGATGACATCACGGTCATCAACAGAGGTGACGGCTACCACTGATGGAGGGCCAGTTACCACCCAGACGTTGTCCTAAGTGCTTTCTCACAGAGTGCGAGCTCACGTGCGTCTTACCACCCACCTTTGTAGGTAGGTGCCTCATTTTATAAAAGAGGCAAATGACTTTCTGAGAGCCCAGGTGGTGAGTGATAAAGCTGAGAGGGGCCAAAGCCCAACTTCCGAGCCTCAACAACCCAAAATACATCAGCCCAGGGTCATCAAACCCTGCTGCACTCCAGGGCCAGACCTTCTTCCAACTGAATACGCAGTCCCTGCCTGTGTCAGGCCACCTCCCCACAGGCAAACAGGCCAGGGTCAGGGTTCTTTGGCCACCTTGTCAGTCACTCCACACGCTCATGGGGTCGCGTGGCCCACCAGGCACGCCCTCTGCCCACAAGGCAGAGCCCTACCGTTCATTGTTCAGGGCCATCCTCGGGGGGTCCAGGTTGGGGTTCTCCATGGACTCCATCTGTGGACACCGCAGGAAGTAGTACAGTGTGTGGAGGGCGTCGGGGGACCAGGTGATGGGCTGGGGTGGCTGGCGGGCCTGGCGGGCGGGGCTGGAGCCTGGACACAGCGGGTGGCGTCCCTGCATGTGGTGCATGGCGCGGGAGACCAGGTCACCTGGCAGGGAGGAGGGCAGGAGAGAGGGGGAGAAAAAGTCAGTTCCCAGTGCACATTCTTCCAAGGATCCTTGCTGGCGAGAGGAACAGTGCGTAAGCCGGCCTGCATAATTACTGTTTACCCAGAGGCAGCAGAAACTGTCACCCAGACGCACAATAGGATTCTAGATTCCCTTTCACTTCCAGTCCTGCCCTAACAGTGAAATGAAACGCTTGGCAGGGCCCAGCCCCACCAGACCTTATGCTAATACAGTTTCTTTTTCAACATCCCCACTCGCTCAACCATCCCACGGGCCTTCTCCCGGCTCTGACCATGGGAATCTCTCTGGGCCTCTCCTCTCAGCCTCTAATTCCTGTGCCAGGTTGTGTGGTGGTTCTTTCCCGTGCTCTCTGGGGCAAAGTCCAGGTACTTTTTTTTTTTTTTTTTTAAATTTTTAAAATGTTTGGCTGCATGGGCCCTTTGCTGTGGTGTGTGGGCTTTCTCTGGTTATAATGGGGGGCTTCTCTCCAGTTGTGGCCCTTGGGTTTTTCTTGTTGCAAAGCAAGGGCTCTAGAGTACACAGGCTCAGTAGTTGAGGAGTGAGGGGTTAGCTGCCCCGAGGCATGTAGGATGTTAGTTTCCTGACCAAAGATGGAACCCACGTCCTCGGCATTGGAAGGCAGGTTCTTAACCACTAGACCACCAGGGGAGTCCCCAAAAGTGCAGGTACTTCTGCAGAAAAGGGCTTCCCTTTCCATGGTCTCAAGGGAAACTCTCACCGCCACTGTCCACAATGCTTACTATGTGCTGGGTGTTCTATTTCCTAGAAAAAGGATTTAATTTGATCTGTACACTGCTGGGGTCCAAGTACATCCCCATTTTACAGATGAAGAAAGTGAGGCTTATCCGGTAAGTAAATATTTACTGACCCCATGCATTTCCCTGGTCACAGGGATGCCACGGTGTCCAGAGGTTAAGTAAATGGTAGGGTCTAGATTTAAATCCACATCTGTGTGTCTCCAAAGTCCATGAACTGAGAGGAGACCCAGGCCATGGCCTGCCTTCCTGAAGTTCATGGGGTCCTCAGGTTCCTATATCCTGTGCTGGGTTTCTTCCCCAGTCAAGTCTTTTCAATACCCCACCAGCTTAGGACAGGAAACATCCCATCATTGTGTGAGGCCACAATGCTGAGAAAGGATGGGTGAAACAGCCCCAGGCACCTGCGGGCCCCTCACTCTAGGAAAAGTGGCGCCTTCCATTCTTCTCAGGCCTGAGAACTCAGAGGAGTGTCTCTGGTGGGTCAGCTTCCTCTATCCCCATGCAGTTCCTTACAGATAGCCCCTTGGATAGAAAGCCTCTGAGCAAAGCTGAACCTATGGAGGGAGAAACCAGCAGGTTTTACTATGGCAGGTGAAGCGCCATTTGATGTTTGGCCGGACCAAATCATTCACTTATTCCCTTAAACTTCCCTGCGGAGCATCTGGGTCTGGTACTCTGTTCTATGTAGCCCTGGTACCCTGCACAGCTTCTACTGCACAACAGGTGCTCAGCAAACATTTGAAGAGTGAAAACGTAGCCTTACACATTCACTTCAGTCTGAAACACTTCTGGTGGTACTTGACTTGAGCTCATTAGATGCCAAGTCCTCCCATGACTGCCAGAGTGACAACATTTGGTTTCCAAGCAGGGACAGTGACAGCCCTGGAACTAGAGACCTCCACGCAGGGAAAGAGCCCTCCATGCCCCCTCACCCTGGGTCCTCACTCCTTTCTACACAGTGGACCCTGCTCAGCCCACAGCTGTAGCTCAGGTGCCTCCTGCCAGATCCCAGGGCCAAGAGGGCTGAGAGCACAGAGTCCCCGACACCTGGTTCCATCCCCAAAACTGATTTAATTGGCCTGGGGCAGGACTCAGGTGTCTACATTTTGTAAAACTTCCCTTGCTGAATCTAATGTCCAGTCAGATTTGAGAATCACCAGGTAAGCGAATAAGAGCATAGATTCCAGAGTCAGACCTGCCTGGGTTTCAAACTAACTGTGTGCCTTCTGTAAGTTACTTATCAAAGCCTCAGTTTCCTTATCTGTAAAAATAACTGCTTCTAACCACAAGTTCTGAGAATTCAAATAAATAACCAGTGTGAAGCATTTAACATCATGCTTGGCACAAAGGGCTTGGTAAAGTTAAATACATCACCATTATTATTACTCTTCTTTGTTGTTATTCTTCTAGACTACAGGCCACCTTGTCATGCTCTTCCTCCTGGGACCTCTGCCTGCAGTCAAGGGCTGCTCCACCTTTCCCAGGACAGGAGTCCAGCCCCACAATGCCAGATCCCAGCTCTGCCCTCAGGTCCTGGGTGGTAGAAACTGGTCCCAATAACTCCATGCCAAGCCACCTCCCAGAAGCTAGTTGTAGACCTATGTTGGCTGCAATAAGTTGAAACCTGGCTCCCGTGTCTCCAGGTCTGAATGTCATAACCGTTGGCACGACCACAGGACCATGAGGAGGAGAATTCAGAGTCCCTGATAGCATCAAAGAAACCTTGGTGAAATATCATTTCAAAGTTTGATAAGGTAGAAGTCGTTACCATTCATTACAGTTAAGATTATTGTGTTGTTACTGGTGTAGACCCCTTGGCAGCACGTTTCCAGCCAGAATGCATCCAAGAAAGTCAAGGAAGGAACAGACGTGCCTCCTAAGGGTTCCCTAAAAGGGAAACCAGGAAGAGAGAGGCTTTCCAAAAGTTCAGAAAACCATGAAGGCATGGGAACTAGAGATGGAGACCCTGGATACTTTGCTCCAAGCCAAGCTGCTGCGGGCTACCAGTCTGTCTCAAAGACCAAAAAGACAGATGCCTGCAGACAACTCTGATCAGGCATCTAAAGACTTAAGCTGCACTGCAGTGCCGTGTAACAGGCAAAGACACCCGCGTGCTCTGGATGCTCTCCCTGAGAGACTGTCCTCCCTGCCACTTTCTATTTTCTAGGCTTCGTGACAGACATGAAAAGATACAACAAAATCTCAAGTCTTTACAGCTGCCCCATCAGCAAGGCATTTCCGTTTCACAGATGAGGACACAAGCTTACACAAGTTAAATGTGTCCAGGGGCATAAGCAGCAAGGGGACCAGCCAGGATTTGAACTGCAGTCCCTGAGTACCAAACACATGCTCTCGACCATTGCAACATTGCTTACTGGAAGGGCAGTCTGCAGACTGCAACAGGTCTGCGAAACTGGTGGTTACTGTTTCAGAAGTTCAGTTCAGAAACTGAAAGTGAGCTTGAAAAAATTTCCAGAGCAGTCTGACAGAGTGATTTTTTTTTTGACAGAGTGATTTTATGCCTATTTAATCTAATAATAAAATAAGATGACTTGCATCTGACCTGCACTTTATTTTGTGTTTCTAGACACTCCTTTTTATTTATTTTATAAAAGTTTCAGTTTGCAATAGAGCTATGCTAAGCCGCTTCAGTTATATCCAACTCTCTACGACCCCATGGACTGTAGCCTGCCAGGCTCCTCTGTCCATGGGATTCTCCAGGCAAGAATACTGGAGTGGGAAGATATGTCCTCCTCCAGGGGAACTTCCCAGCCCAGGGATCGAACCCATATCTCTTGCGTCTCCTGCATTGGCAGACAGGTTCTTTACCACTAGCGCCATCTGGGAAGCCCAATAGAGCTGAGGATATACCATTCCTGGCCCATCACCACAGTGAGTTTGAGAAGCTGTGGCCCAATGGGGCTGTGCTGTTGGTTTGGCAAAACTGGGCTCTCAGAGCTGCTTCTGAGATGTCTTTGTACTCGAGAATCAACTGACCCTAAGCTTGATGATACCTCAGTCTAAAGCCCAGGAACACCCAGGAGCAGGGAGAAACACCCTTTCTGCTTGCTAGTCACGAGAGCCTTGATCAGAGGTGCTATGGGTTCCCTCTGGTCTGTCTAAAGCCCATCAGGAGCCATTGAATAAAAAGAGCAGGGGAGGGACTTCCCTGGTGGTCCAGTGCCTAACACTTTGCACTCCCAATACAGGGGGCCTGGTTCAATCCCTGGTCAAGGAACTAGATCCCACATACCACAACTAAGGGTTTGCACACTGCATCTAAAGATCCCACATGCTGCAACTAAGACCTGGTGAAGTAAAAAAAAAAAAGAAAAAAAAAGGAGCAGGGGCAACCTGGGATTTAACACTGTCTCCAAAATGAGGCCCACACCACCTGGTTCCCTTTAAAAAAGTGTTTCATTTCTTTCTTATTCCCTCCCATTTACATTCTCATAAGTAGAGAGGGACAGAGGAAAAGACAAGTGGCTGGAGCTCCCCGTGCAGCTGGACCTGATACAAGAGTGAGACTTCCCGACCGACCTGGCAGGCTGGTCCTGGCGAGGCGCAGTGAGAGGATGCGTGTTAAACCTGGGCTAAACTTTCAGGGACGAGGAACTCAGTGCCAAGTATCACTAGCCTCATTAAGTTCTTTAGTCTCAGAGGGAAAAACTGCAATATCTGCCTCCACCTTCATCTCCTTCCTCCTTCAACTCCTTTCAGAGTGAGAGAGCTTGGGCGTCTTGGCACATGACACAGCCAATTGGATTGTCGTTAAAAGATGCTCTGGGCTTCCTTCTTACCTTTGGCCTGAGGAATGGCTGAGGCAGAATGAGAACCAATCCTAGGTAGGCTTTAGGAGGCAAAAACTATATGATAGAGGATTCATTGGGTTTCCCAAGTGGCACCAGTGGTAAAGAACCTGCCTGCCAGTGCAGGAGACACAGGTTCGATCCCTGGGTTGGGAAGATCCCCTGGAGGAGGGCATATCTTCCCACTCCAGTATTCTTGCCTGGAGAATCCCATGGACAGAGAAGCCTGGCGGTCTACAGTCCACAGGGTCACAAAGAATTGGTCACTTTGACTGAAGTGACTTAGCATGCAGAGAATTCATTTCTACACACACACAAACACATGGCTCAGATACTATTCTCAACACTGGTGATACATACTCCAGGGGTACAACAGAGAAAGTGTCCATTCTTGTGATGGTGACTTTCTAATCACATGGGAGAGATGACCAACTATTCACCTGCCAAGTGTCCATCAGTGCTTAGAATAAACCAAAGTCATAAGATGGGACACAGAGGAATGACGCTGGGACCTTGAGTCTCTGCAGGGTCTGTGGGGAAGGCCTGTCTAGTAACTGTTATTTGGCAGAAACTTGAAGAACGTGCCATGACTGGGCACCTGGGGGAAAAGGTCACGGGTAGAGGAATGCCTAATGCAAAGGCCCTGGGGTGGGAGGATTTTGGCCAGGAGGCTGGGGTGGTTGCAAGGCGCTCAGCAAGAGAAGAATAGTAGGTGATGAAGCCAGATCGATGACGTGTCCAGTCCTGGATTTCACTGAGTGTGTTGGAAAGCCATGGGGAGAATGGAGGGGATACTGAGCAGCAGAGTGACATAATCCTGGTTTGGGCTGAGTTGTTGGAAGTGAAGGTGGTGAAAGGGCAAAACCAGAAATCGGGATAGTTTTAGAAGGTAGAAACAATAGGACTTGGTCCCCGGGCTGAATGACAAGGACAGAAAGATGACAAGCCTGTCTCCTGAACTAGTTTCTGAATGCCCGCCTTGTGTCTTACTGTGGATTGTAACGGGCATGGAGACTACTACAATAAAAGGCTCTATGATAAAAGTCAAGATCAGATTCCGATCTTGACCTCAGCTGCCTTGAGATGCTGGTGGCTGGGCTGCTAGCCACGTCTAGGAAGCCCATGCGTGCGTGTGTGCTAAGTCACTTCAGTCGACTCTTTGCCACCCTTTGGGCTGTAGCCCACCATAGCCCTAAGTAATTCAGAGCTTTGCTAAAGCTAGACACAGCAGGAGTCAAGCCCTCATTCGGATTCTTCCAATCAGCAGTCTGACTTGGGAGCAATGGCTTTTCCTAAGTCTCAGCTCCCTCACCAGGACATACCTTGCTGAGCTGTCCTGCAGAGTAAATGGGATCACATGACCAAGCTGCTTCATACAGTGCCTTGCACACAGTAAGTGCTCACAATGTTCCAAATGCGAAACAAAACCCAAGTGCTCTCCAGTGGACTGAAGCCTACATTTGTTCCTCATTGTCCTCGGGCCAAGACAGTTCATCACACAGACTCTGCGTAGCTCACACCCAGCTCACAGACAGCCCACACACCCAAGCCCACTTCCTGCAGGGTCCCCAAGGGCAGGGGACCCAGGTGGCCATGCTGGAATGCCCCTAGGAGACAAAGAGCCTGAAGTCCTGCTTTCTGAACCAGCCCTTTCACCAATCTGCTCTATGACCTTGAACCAGGCACCTTCACTTCCTGTCCTGGGGAGGGAAGGAAGACTGCGGGCAGGAAGGGAGGAAGCTGTGTCCTAAAGAAGCAGAAAGGCTTGCCATTCACTATTCAGGGGCCAGAAACCTCAGAGAAATCACAAGCGGAAAAGGCAGGAGCAGAGTGAAACTCCATCTGTTTCCACGCTGTGTGCTATGACCCTGGGCAAGTGTGCCCACCCTCTGCTGGGTGGGCTTATGACACAGGAAGGGAGAACTGAGGAGGCTGAGAGCGCAGTTTGATTGCTCAAATAATCGGGATAATGAGAGGGAGAGACTGGGGGACATGGGGATCTCTTGCCTCCTAACATGCTTTTTTGAAGCAACTGTCAAGTGATAATGACCTAGACCCAGGGGTTTCCCAGCGTGTTTCAGAGAGCCCTGAGGTCCTGGGAGATGCCCAGGGCGCTGCAGGGCTGTGTCTGCCGACCACACCCGCCACCTTCCAGCCAGAGTTTTGCTTTTTTCTTTCTTTTTCTATGTTGAGGTTGCAGGAGGTGCGTTCTTTCTCACACTGGCTATAAACTCAGAGTCTTTGGGGCCAGGCCGGTAAAATAAATGCATGAGACAGGTCAGGTATGAGATACCAAGGTATGTGACAATGAAGGGAACTCCTGCTATCCCCTTGGCTGCCACTCAGCTCCCCTGATCACCGCCATCCAGGGATGGGGCACAGTGGTGTCAGACGGTCTGATTTCTCTAGAGAAATCAGAGATCTGGGCTTGGATGTGATTAAATGCACCTGCTGGTCAAACCACGCATGTCTGTGGGCCACTGGTTTGCAACCTCTGGCCTTAAAGGATGGGCAGTTTTCAGAGAAGGCAGGACACGTGCAGAGGAGGAGGAAGCCAGGACCCAGAAGGCGGGCTCCTCCCCACCTCTCCCTCGGAGCCAGCGGGCTGTGGGGGCCCCACTTACTCAGCTCGGAGATGCTCCCCACACATGTGGCCAGGAGGGACTGCTCCAGGGTCCGGAGCTCCAGCTGCGCGTAGGCATCAGCTCGCTCGTCGTGGCCCAGGGACCCCCCGTTGTAGGGGCTGAAGTACGCGGGGAGGGAGAGGACCCCTGTGGGGAGACAAGGTGGTGTGTCAGTGAATACAATTAATAAACAATCGATGATAAGAATAAAATAGAGTTTTATCTGCACCAAACGGAGGACTAGCCTAGAAGTGTGCTGCCCGGATTACCCTGAGAAACTGCTTTGGAGAAGCAGAGTCTTCAGAACAGTTTTATACCTTGTCAGAACAAAGAATATTAAACAAGTCAGGGTTACATATCTTCAAGGTTTGAAAAGAAAAAAAAAAAAGAACAGATCAGCATGTACACAAGAGAGTCAATAAGGCCTTTGCATCTGGGAAGGGGGTCTTTATCATCAAAGGAGAGCCAGTAGGACCATCCCAGGAAGAGGGGCATTTCATCTTTATTTTTTAAATTTTTTAAAAAGATTTTTTTGGCTGTGGACCAGTTTTAAAGGCTTCACTGAATTTGTTACAACACTGCTTCCGTTTCATGTTTCAGTTTTTCAGCATGTGGGATCTTAGTTCCACAACCAGGGATCTAACTCCCACCCCGGCACTGGAAGGTGATGTCTTAACCACTGGACTGCCAGGGAAGTCCTTACTCTTTATTTTTAACATAGACGTTATTTACCTCCGGTCAATGTGCCCTTTTCTTCAGCAATAAAGCAGATGTATAGTGTATGTTTGATAGGCCACAGGTTATTTTAGTTAACATAAAATTCAAGTTAGGGACTTTCCTGGTGGCCCAGTGGCTAAGACTCCAAGCTTCCAATGCAGGGGGCCTGGGTTTGACCCCAGGTCGGGGAACTGGGTCCCGCATGCTGCAACTAAGAGTTCATATGCCACAATTAAAGATCCCACATGTCAAAACTAAAACCCGGAGCTGCCAAATAAATAAATAGACAGCAACAACAACAACATCAAGTTAACTCATGTATAAGCCAGAATGACTTCCCTATATCTCAATATGTGAAAATGTCTTTTATCAACAAGTCACCTGAGGAAGGAAGCAAAGCTGGAACTCCATAGCACTGTTTCCCATCTGGTGGAGTAGGAGATGGGGAGTGGGCCAATTACAAGGTTCCACTTAGGACAGCTGACTTTTAACTGTGGCCGGTGTTGTGGGAGCCAGAATGCAGGGTGGCCCACCTGCATATGTGGTTTAAGGCAGTGGAGACCACCCTTTCTTGAAGCTGCACAAGGAACTGGCCTCCAGACACCTGTGGGCCACACAAGCATTCACTCATTCCTTCCTTTCTTCACTCGCTGAATATTCAGAGTGCTTCCCAGGCACTGTGCTGTCTTCAGGATTCCAGGGTGACAAAGAGACCTGGATTTGTCCTCTCATTGCTCAGAGAATGGGGCATCAGATATAAAGGTCCACCCTGCCCACCCAAAGGCCAGCATCACCCCTGGAGTCCTTTCACTTCCTCATGCTGCCCACACACCACCCCCTTCTCCTTCAAGCCAAGAACAGGACTAAGAGAAACCAGAAAAAAGGATGCTGGCTTTCCCCACTCCAGCCACTGGCCAAGGCCAATTAGTGTTTTTCATTAGCACTTCAACAACAGAGGAGCAGAGCTGTCAGAATCAATCCCAGAGGGTGACAGCGTGTAAATTTCTTCAACTCACTGTGTGGCTTCTTAGAAAACATCAGAGAAGCAAAATCAGACTGGCTTAAAATTGAGGCATTGGTTGTTAAGAACATGTGGCCACAGAGATTCCCAGTTTTTGATAACTGCTATTTCTTTGATCAAGGCATCTTTGTCCAACCCCCTTGAACTTTTTTTTGAAAAAGCAAAATACCCACAGGAGTTTAATCTGTCACTTTGGGGAAAAATCTCTTAAAATTCCTTGAGATAATGGGAGAGCCCCTGGGATGTGGCCAAATCCGGGCTAGAATTCCCTATCCTGCCCACAGAAATTGTCACAAAGATGACAACAGTCATGGGTCCTGTAGCAAAGAGTTCAAGACAGGGCCTTGGAACTGGAACCTTTGGGTTCATGATTCTGGCTCTGTCACTGAACCAGCTGTGTGATCTTGGGCAAGTTACTTCACTTCTCTGTGCCTCAGGTTCCTCACATGTTAACTACAGAAAACAAAGGTTACTACCGAGCTTACGGTGTGGCAGTGAGGAATGACTTGAGTTGTTGAATGTCAGTGTTTGGACTGCTGTGTGGTTCAGAGTTAAAGGCTCTTCAGTTGCTATTACAGGTATTTTCCCTATGTGCTGGGAACACAGACTTCATGCATTAATCTTTCATCAAGGCAGGCACCTCTGTCTCCATTTTAGATACTGTGCAGAGAGTTTTAATAACTTGCTCTACTAAGTGGCAGAGCTAGGATTCGAAGCCAGGTCTGACTGGCCCTAGAATATATGCATGTCATCGCTCTGTGAGCCCAGATTCACACCACCAAGCTCACTTATGGCTGTCCTGACTCACAGCTGTTGTTATTCCTGCTTGGTTCACTCCAGGAAGCCCCGGTGCCAGGCCTCACGCACAGAGCAGGATCCTGGCAGGACACAGCAGTCTCCCTCCTGCCCAGGATCCTGGCAGTGGTCTTTGACCAGTCTCAAGGTTCAGCTGCGGTGCAGCCCTGCCCCCCTAGCCTGCCCGTGCCCCAGCCTGGCCTCCAGGCCTCCTCTGTGCTCCCTCTCTGCCTTGCTCTGTGCCTGAGACCTGCGCCCTGAGTCTCCCTTCGACCCTTCCAGGATGGCAGTGGTGACTGACCTGGCAAAGCAGGGCATCGAAGCACTTCCTCAAAGCTCTGCTTCCAGTGGGAGGAGGAGGGTATGACTGGGTCCTCCCGCCCCCATCTGTGTCCCCAAAGCGGAACCTCTCCCTGACAGCTGAGGGCCCAAACACATTAGGAAGAGCCGGCTCTGGGCATTAAAACAAGTTAAACAAAAGACAACCCCCGCCTACCCACCCACCCTCTCAACTAAAAAAGCTCAACCCCACGGACAGCCCAAACATTTGGGAGAGTCTCTACGCGACGAGAGGTCCTAATGCAGGCCTCACCCTCCCCCTTCTCTTCATTATTAATCCACAGAAACAATGCTGGGGACATGTGGATCAAATTTACAGTGCTTAGGGCAAGGGAATAGGAAGGTCAGCTGATTTGTCAAAGGATTCCCAGAGAGAAATATTATGTCAGTGGATCTAGTAACAAGAGCTGGCAGCTCCATTAATAATTGTTCCCATTTTCCCAGTCATCACCCACCCAAAGGGGCTTTCACTTAATACTGTGGCAAAGGTAATTATGAGCCTCTTATTAATAATAGTAATTGATAGCATCACAGCTTTTGCATAGTACCTTTTGCTTTTAAGAGACTTCTAACACCGAGTATGTAATTTATTCTCCTGGCAAGGGAGGTAGAGCGGTCATTATCAGTAATAGCCACTGCTGACTTTTACAGAGGGCTCGCTATGTGCCAGGATTGTGGTAACTTTGTATGCAAGATCACATTCAGTTCCCAAGGCTTCATGAGGTAATGTTTGCACCCATTGTACAGATGAGAAAACCAAGGCCCCCGCCCCCAAAGTTCAGTGATCTTCCCAAGGTTATTGAGGATCAGGAACTGAACTGGGGCTAGAATGTCAATCTCTTGAGTCTCAAGATGTTGAAATAAAATGATGTCCTAACTTTGACCACCTTGTCCTTTAGTTAGAGAGAATGAGGATATGTGCGAGAAAAGGGGTTCTGTTCTGTTTGGACCTGGAGTCTGAAAGGAGGAAATATAAAGATCCAGAAATATGACTCTCTTTTTAATGTGTCTCCAGGCATCGCCTGCCAAGGATCCCTGGAGGCCTCGCGTGAAGCTCTACGGACAGAAGGCTGTCTCTCTTATTCCCCCTGATCTTTCTAGAATGCCAGTTCCACAGCTTGCCTTCTGAATCTACTGAGTCTGTCCCCTAAGGAAGCTTTTTTAATTTTTTTGTCAATGTGAAATTCTTCTCCCACATAAGCCTGTTCCTCAGCCATTCTCACTGGAGATGGAAAACATTCTCTCAACACTATGACTTCTTTGCCCACAGAAATTCCCAGCTTTATGACATGGGCTTGGGGCAAGGTTATTCTGGAAAAAGGGCTTTCCAAAAAAAAAAAAAAAAAACAAAAGAAAGGCAAAGCATCCCCCTTCCCTTTATAAAATCCTTAGAAAAAACTTTATTTCAGTCATGATGGAAAAGAAAGCAAGTTGGAGTGAAACCTTTATTCCTTTACTAGTTAATAAAGACACCCAAATCAATCCCTACTGAACGCTGTAAAAGTTACAGAGAAAACCCACATGCATGGCTCGGATCATTGCCGTGAAATGAACTGCTGCGTGAGAGGCAAGGAACGAGTACACGAGATCCAGGCATCCTCTGCCTCTCTCATCTCCAAAATCGGCATTTCTGTCGAAACAAGGTTCCACCCCATCTGCTTTGGCCCTATGTGAAGCCTCTACGTTTCTCAATCTACACACACAACCACAATCTTCACTCCTTTTTTCTCAAGCAGGTTGCCCAACCCTTGAATCTCAGAACTCATTATCTCATTCCCCAGAGCCGCCAGTCCTTTCTCTGAGCGCAGCATGACATCCACCCAGTTGCCCAAGGACAGACCAGTGAGTCATCCTTATCAACTCTCTCCCTCCTCCCCGACACATCCAATCAACCACCAAGCTGCTGCTCTCACCACCTTCCTATCTCAAAGCTGTCACTGCTGGTTCGGGCTTCCCTCTGGATCCTGTGAGCAGCCCCTCCCCTGTCTCCCACCTCCACCTCACCAGTCCCTGACATCCCTTACTCTGGCCGTGGGTGCTAAGTCGCTTCGGTCGTGTCCGACTCTTTGTGACCCCATGAACTGTAGACCGCCAGGCTCCCTTGTCCTTGGGATTCTCCAGGCAAGAATACTGGAGTGGGCTGCAATACGCCCTCCAGGGGATCTTCCCGACCCAGGGACAGAGCCCCCTGCGTCTCTTACATCACCTGGTCTTTACCAGGAGGGGTCTTTACCAGGTGGGGTCTTTACCACTAGCGCCACCTGGAAAGTATGTT